TGGTTTTCAAATGATGACGAAAAAATATAGGCTTGTTTTCCTCATAAACACTCATAAAAAAAATTAAAATTTTTTTTTATCGGTTTTTCACTCATTATTGTTTTTTTTCAGCAATAATAATGACGTCATGATATTGGTAACTTAAAAAAACAACAAAAGTACCCATTAAATAATGATACAATTACTAAAAAAAAAAAAAAAATTATGACCAAAACAAGCCTTTTTTGTATCGCCATCATTTGAAAACCACTAAACCAAATGTTTTCAGAATCGGGGATTAAGTTGAGAATAACGAGATCTTTAAAACGATCTATCACTCGACACCGTGTTCTATTTAAAAAAATGTTTCAATTTGCGCTCAGCTGTCATTTGTTTTTCAAAAGATGAAGAATTTGGCCACATATCATCATTTCAAATTTCGTTGCAATATACCGAGCGGTTGAAAAGTTAGAAGGGGGGCGACGGACTTTATGTCCTCACTGTATATTGATCTAAGCGAAATCAGCTTTTGAGAAATAAAAGACAAATGTTGCGGCTACTGTGCAAACCGACGCTCTTCTCCTTTTGTAAGTTAAAAATAATAATTTGGATCAAATTTCAAAATAAATAAAAGTTTAAAATTAAGGATTATGACAAATGACAAGAAGATGAAAAGTTTGCTTTATGATTTGATTGGAAAAATGTTCTAAAAAAATTCAAAAAAGTAAGTTATGAATCTCAAAATTCAATGGAAACAAATTATCGTCGCTAATAAATGAATAATAGCTCGGTGTGATTTGCACGCAAACTTTTTCAGCGAGGGCGTACAAGCATAAAGGCCAGGAAACAAAGCGGAAAAACATCTAATCGTTTTAGGGGAGGAATCGCAGGAACAATGTCCTGAGAGAATAATAGCTGCTTGCTAAGGCGGTGTCGATTTCCTTTTTTTTTTTGTTTTTTTTTTCGGACGAATTGTCCTTAATTAGTTTCAGTACGCTTTAGAGTTTTTTTGGCAAAAGAAAAGGTATTTATTTTTATTTTCTAGACTTTTTTTCTACAATATACTGTGAATTGTGTCGGACAAAGAGGATTTTTCACACACAAAGGGCTTGTATCAATTTTTATCAAGAATGGAATTCGCTTAGGAGTGAAAGGGAGGTACATAATGTCTGCCCAGCGAATCTGTGTCTACGGGGCAACGGTAAGGGGAATGCAGTTGTAAAAAAAAATGGCTGATTTCATTCATAAAATACCCAGCTGCGTGCGGAACTTTTTAGAAGTGTTATCGTATTGCAACTCGTACACGAAAATCGACAATTACCAAACCTCCGCCACTTGATATTTCAATATAAATCGATATTCCAAGATGGGAGGATGAAATGACGTAAACCCTGGCCAATAGCGAGATGTTAGGTGACGTTAGCTCATTGACAACCGTATGATTCCCCATGGCAACGGCGATCCTGCCAAAAACTCCACCAATCAGGTCCATCCAGGCCGGATGCTTGCCAAATTGTCAAAAGCTGATGGCATCTTTAGGAAATGTTTATTTTTTACAATAAACCAAATTGAAGAAATCAGGATTAAAACAAGAATAGATCCAACAGCCACGTTAAAATATTCAGCGTTTTATTATTGTTATCAATATTTTGTTATTAAAAAATGGATTTTCAAATGAATTATACTTCATGCCAAGTATTTTCGCTTTTTTATAATTAAACGTGACAACATGGCACATTTACGTCCGAATTCCTTCCGTAGACTCAGATCCGCTGGGCAAACAATAGTTTGTGTTATTTTGAGATAAAATTAATTATTTTTGGGGTTAATATCTTTTTGGCATTTTAAATTTAAGTTCGAGATTCAAGAAGCTGAACGCTTTTTCTACATTTCAAGTTCAACGAGGGATGTTGCAAAGTGAAAAGTTCTCAAATTCAAGATTTCAGAGACGTTGTCCATTTCACGTGGCTCCTCAATTAGGAATGTCATCATCATCATCATCCTCAGCTCATACTGTTCACTGCTGGACAAAAGCCTCTAAATTCTGAATGTCAATGCGTCACATCTCAGCTGAATCTTTGAAAAAGGAGGAGATGCTACCTGAAGAGACTCACCTCAGAAAGGATGTAGTGGCAGATGCTCTACTGTTCCGTTCTCCTATTCTCAACCTCTGCACAGTGGTGATTTGTTCAATATCTTTAAAAAGATATGTTTCCTTAGCTGACCGTGGTCTATCCATAAACCCATGATGTGACGAAGGTTTTACATGGCCAGGTATGCAGTGCAGCTTCGTTAGGCTAGCTGAGCAGCTTTCTATCTAGTTGACCCATCTCGACGTGAAGTCTGATGGGTGATTTTCTTGATGATTTGAGTCAGAGTAGTGAGGCGCAGGTCCGGGTCGCATTTTTCCGTTTCCTATTTGGTTACCGCTACATGGAGCGCTAATCCTTTAGGACTTATAAAATTACATCTCGCATCGCGTTTCCTATTAGGCCAGCGCACATTGTCTACCGTTACATGGAGCGCTAATCATATAGAACTTGTTAAATTATATCTGACGTCGCGTTTCTTATTAGACCAGCGCATTTAAAGTGAATAACTACGCTCATTTTGCCAACCATGCTGTTACGTAACTTTTGACACTGGGTTGGTTTTTAATAATAATTAATAAAACAACTTGCAGAGTTTAGCTCTTTTTGTAGCAGTCAAATTCTTTCCAACAGTAATTAGAAAAAAATATGAAAAACTTTTCCATAGTTGCAGGCAAGCACTTTGCCACGGTGGAAAATATACTTTATTAATAATAAGTGTTTCTACTGTAACAGGAAAAAAATAGTAGTGGCAGCAAAGAACTTTACTGTTACACAACCAAGGTACTGTTTGCTAACTAAGCAAAGTGCGTTTTACTACTAGAATAGGATCGTTTTACAATTACAGCTAAAATTTCTTCTATGATAGCCGAAAATCAATTAGTAAAGAATTTTTGGCTAGAGGATTTCTCAGTGTAAAATCAACAGAGATAATAAAACGAGATACAATGAGAAATATTACAAAATTATTGCACCACCTCTAACCACAAATTAACCTCGAAAAATGACAACGATAATGAAATGGATTGCAGTGCAATGGATCTCTGCAGACGATCATGGAGGGTGTGCGCTGGTCTAATAGGAAACGCGACGTTGGATATAATTTAAGAAGTCCTATATGATTAGCGCGCATAGATCTAATTTTACAAGTCCTAATGGATTAGCGTTCCAGGTAGCGGTAACCAAATAGGAAACGGAAAAATGTATTCGGCTCAAGGGCCAGATTCCATAATAGCTGCCTCCTTGCCAACCTATCAGCGACTTATTTCATTGTCTCTGCACGTTCCCCTTGAACGATCTGACAGAAATTCTCTTGTATCGGGCTCGTCAGAATTGAGGTCATTGGCATACGGCTTGCTGAAGACAAACTTGGAAGGTATAATGCCCTAGGCTGCAATAGAGTTTGCCTTTTTACCGCCTTCTTCCACAGGCGGCATCTATAGGCTCCACAGTCTACGCAAGTTTGTACACCAACCTCTTTCAATCCTCAGTACCGTTTCACTTGCCACATCCTTGAGAAAAATGTCAAGCACAACATAACTTCCGTAACTCTGGTGAGTGTAGTTCTCATAGCTCCCGTTAAGGTGAGTCAGCCCACTCTTTGAACATAACTGAGCTTAAGCATTGCCGTTGCCTACAAGGCCTAAGAAACTAGCTTAAATTAAGGTTGATTCCTAATATTTTTAAAATCGCGTTTGATTTAAACTACGAAAGTATATCTATATGATTATTCCACTCATGTGTTAGAAATCCCATAAGACAAGTGACGATTTTCAGAATTACAGCGAAAATTTTCTTTTCCATTTGTTTAACTAGAGAGAATTACAGCGATAATTCTCCCATGTTATTGTATACATGGTTGTCATGCTAATTTTTGATACAAACAAACGGTTCCTGATAGCAATCATTTATTGGTATTGATTGTTAAGATGTTCAAATCGTTTGATACATATTTATTTCCATATTTTTTGCATCTTCATACCTGAAATAATCCTCTAAATTGAGCTTTAAAATTAACCAAATAATTTTCCACTCATGTGTGTTTTCTCTGCAAATTTCACTCGTCCTACGGACTCGTGAAATTATAGAAAACACGCAATCGTGAAAAATTATCGGTAATTTTGAAGCTCTCGTGGTATTATCCCCGAAAATTAAATTAAATTGTGGATGTGTTTTAACCTATTAGTTTCGACATAGTAACAAATTTGTGTACAATTTATCTGCTTCAGTAAACAGCCACGATTTCATATCTTACGCATGAAATTAACCTAATTTGAAGCGGCGATAAATAAACTAGTTAGATACTCCTAAACTACACAAACATAGGTATATTATATTTGCTCATTCTAGCTATTGGGGAGGCTTCTTACGGAAATAGTAATTTCCTAAAACCATTGAAAATCTCCGAATATTTTCCTCTCAGCCAATTGGGCTACTCGACAGACAACTTCCAGGAAAAATTAGTCTAGATTTTCCTCTTCTCCGAAAAGCGAATTTCTGTCAGTAAGTATAAAATAATGAGAGATAATACATTTCCGCGCCCGCTTTCCAGGGTTTGAGGAGCACCGAAAGTCGGAAAACAAAGTGAAAAACATCTAATCGTTTAGGAGGAGATATCGTACGGACAACGTCCTCAAGAGAATAAAAGCAGCTTTCGCTGGTGTTGATTTCATTCTATGTTTTTGCCGGAAAATTCGTCTGTAATTATTTTTTCAGCGCTTTTCTCGGTCGTAACATTTATTGTTGAACCTAAAAAAATCTTTAATGAAGACATTATAAACATTTCTAGAGCACAACAGCTGTAACTTAATAAAACTTTATGGGCCATTAAAAGCCCCAACTAGCACTAAATAAACTGCTTATTAACGCTTATGTTTTGTAAGCACAATGTAGGAAAAAAGAATACATTTTAACGCCAATATTTTGTTGCAGGAATATCAGACGCAGATCCATGTCCAAGCATAACGGCTCTGAAATCGGGAAGCGTTGCGACAAGCTCAGACCTATTAGCACCTTGTGACAGAATTATCAGTCTCAACGGCATTTCAACAGCACGAATGCGTCCTGACGAGTTGTCAAGCATGCTTGACACTATCGATGGCAACACTGTCATGGAACTTGAGTATTCTTTACCCAGTTATGGTAAGTAGATAACTTATATTGATTTGTAATCAAGTTACTGTATAAACGTATTACCATGAAATAGTAACACATTGCTAAGCATATTTTACCAACTCCAGCCGTGTTCTTAAAAGATGGTATATCGCTGTTGTTTATTAAACTCGATTGTTATGCAAAATCACTTCATTTATTTAAGAATAGTGGACAAAATCAAAAGAAGAAAGTAAGAACATAAACATAAACGTTTTTGTGTCGTTTTCGCAGCAGTCTTCTCGCTTTGCTCCTTCTTGCTTCACAGGGATATTTCGTACGTTCGCCGCATTTGACATATTGCAAGATTGCTGATGTGAGCTTTTGGTAGTTTAAAATTTTTATTGTTTATTGCCGTAACATACCGGCCGCCTTGAAACGTGGTATAGCACTTTCAACAGAAAGAGTTCAAACGGCAAAACCTAATTGCTAAATAGCACAATAGATTAGGTAGGTATAATATTAAAAATTACAACTGAATGTCTGATTCTTCTTGAATAGTCTCGTTCGAGGGAAAAATACAAATTTTTGTCACCGGTTTTTTGAAAAGTTCATTATTCATCCGCACAGTAACAACTCGAACAATACCGTCGCGTTCGGGATGAACTGCTTCAATTTTACCCGTTGGCCATTTCATCGGTGGTGAATTGTCTTCTGCAACAAGCACTATAGTCCCAATTTTAATAGGCAATCCTGATTGTTGCTTCCATTTGCTTCGAATCTGCAATTCGCTGAATATGATATGAATAATTTGTCTTTCAAACCTTTTAAGATGATTTTCTTTGACTTGAGTGACATCTCTGTCCGGTAGTGCAGTAAGACTTCGTCCCAGTAAAAAGTGAGCCGGCGTTAAAGGATTTAATTGATCGTGAGAAGGTGACAATGAGCATAAAGGACGAGAATTAAGTATAAATTCGACCTGAACCAGTACTGTATTGAAATCTTCAAAATTGTTCTGACTTTAACAAAATTGGGAAGGTTTTGCAATTCTTTGTCTGCGCATATAAACGTTTTTCCATTATCGAAATACATACTACTTGGTTTTCCGCGTCGGCCAACAAAACGGTGAAAGGCAGCCATAAAACACTTCGTAGTGAGATCAGACATGAGCTCAAGGTGCATGGCCTTTGTAGACATACAAATAAAAATACAGACATATGCTTTAGTCAACTTTGCATCCCTAGTCGATCTATCTTTTAATAAAAATGGACCAGCAAAGTTACATCCTGTATTCACAAATGGCTGATATTGAGTAACGCGAACCGCGGGCAAATTTCCCATTAAGTACTGACTCCGAGTAGGATTGACCTTAAAGCACTTAACGCATTCTCTTTCGATTTTTTTACAAATATTACGCCCAGAAATCGGCCAAAATCGCTCACGAATAGAGGCCAACAACATTGTCGGTCCACAATGCAAAAGTCTTTCATGTTCGTCAATGAGAATTAATTGTGTTAATTTATGTTTTGGTGGTAGAATAATAGGATACTTTTTATCAAAATTGTGGTTCGAATTTTGCAGACGACCTCCTACTCGGATTAGACCCTCCTTGAACATTGGATTTAATGAAAGTAAATTACTTTTCTTTTTTACACCTAAGCCAACGCGCAGTCGCTGGTAATCTATTTCAAATGATTGCTCTTGAGCTATACTCACTAATTTTTCAAGTGAATCTTGAATCTCATCTCTAGACAACAAACCCTTTAATTTGGATTCTTTTTTAAGATTACAATTTTTGATAAACCTTAAACAATAAGCGAACACTCGAAATTATTTATCGTTATTGTACAAGATAGAGATTTTTGTTCTGGCAAATCGTCATTATAGGGTAAATTTTTATTAATATGATTATCTAAATCATCCCTCGAGAGCCATTTCGGTCCGTTCCACCAAAATGAAGATTCAATTAATTCATTGACATTTATTCCCCTGGACACTAAATCAGCAGGATTTTGATCTGTAGATACGTGATTTCAATCATTTATATTCGTTAACTGTTGTATTTCGCTAACGCGATTGGGGCAAAAAAAAGTTTCCACTTACTAGCAGGCCCCCGTATCCACGATAATGCTATTTGTGAATCGGAATAAAAATAATACTTGTCGAAGTTAATTTTTATGGAATCAATAGTTTTGTATGCTAATTGCGCTAGAAGTACAGAAGCGCATAACTCTAAGCGCGGTAAAGTTACCAACTTTTTAATAGGCGCTACCCTCGATTTTGCGCACAAAAGTTGTGAAAAATATTGTCCCGACTGAATTTGACATCTAATATAAAGACAACATCCGTAAGCCTTTTGGCTAGCATCTCCGAATCCGTGTAGTTCTATAGAAATATATTTGGATATAGTAACGTTCCTAGGAATTTTTTAAGTGTTTATTTCAGGTAAACTGTTTGTAAATTGTAACCAAGAATTTACTAAGTTTTGTGGCAACTCTTCGTCCCATCCATATTGACCCTGCCATAATGCTTGCATTAATATTTTAGTAACAATAATGATGGGACCAAGAAGATGTAAAGGATCATGAATTTGCGAAATCGCTGATAATATAGTACGTTTACTTATTACCGACTGATTTTTAAAATTAAGTACTAAATATCGAATTGTGTCAGAATTCGAGTCCCACAAAACTCCTAGTGTTTTATTAGTTTCATTTTCATTGATGTTTAAAATGCACGCATCTAGGTTTTTATCTACTGCTAAATATGGCGCCGAAGCGGTGCCATAAGTTACCATATTTAACTCAAAGCATTTTAAATCGCTTGTTGGATCTTGTCGCCAAAAACTGCGCTGTAAACTACGCTGCTCATCTTTGACTAGAATCATTCTGTACATTTTAGATACCATCCGCTGTCATAACAAATTCATGCTTAAGAAAACGGAGTATTATAGAAAAAAGATCGTCCTGCAACGTAGGACCTACACATTGGACATCGTTTAGCGACAGCCCAGAATGTGTTTTCATCGAAAACCACCCTAACTTTCGTAGTTTTGCTTCGATCACGTACTACGGCCTGATGCGGCATATAATAGGCCATTTTATCAGGATTTTCTTCACTATTGTCCTTAACTTCGGACATATGACCTAACTCTAAGTATTACAACATAAACTTATCATATTCAATTTTCAAATACGAATTTTTGGATAATCTACGTTCTTGAGATAAAAATCTTTGAAGTGCATAATCTCGTGACTTGCCTAAATCTCGTAAGTTCTCTTTAAAAGGAATTGAAACTATAAAATTACCATTTTCCCTAAAGTATTTACAAAATTTTTCTCACAATAATGTTCTTCTTCAGAAAAGTTTGACCCTAAATTAGGTTTAGTATAACCATCCTCTATTTCCCAAAATTTAGTCAAGAGTATGTTGAGAGAAGGTTCGCTTTTAAACTCACTAGAAAAACAGCTAATAACTTGTTTGGATTGATTTAATTCTGTTGACATAACACCACCTACAACCCATCCGAGGAGTGTTTCCTGTAAGTATAGTTTTGAGTTGTTTAATTGAATTTTTCCACCTTGTAAAAATTCCCAAAACAAGGTTGACCCTAATAAAAGATCAATCTCGCTAGTTTTATTAAATTCTTTATCTGCCAATTGTATATAATCTGGTACATTTAAAAAACTTTTATCGAAAGTCACTGATGGTAATTTTTCTGTGATATTTTTCAAAACTAAACACTCAATTGTAGCTTTATAATCGGTAGTACAATATTTCATATTTAAATTTACTCGATAGTTCAATTTGGATGTTGACTCACCGATTCCTATTATTTTATAATTGACCTTTTCCATCGCCAGATTTAATTTTTTGCACAATCGCTCGGAAATAAGATTGCTCATTGAGCCAGTGTCAAGCAGGGCCTTGCACTTGTGTAATTTACCTTAAAAATCCTCCACATTAATTATAGCCGTGGACAATAGTACTTGACCATTTAAAGCAACTGTATCATCGCTAGAATGGTTTTGAATAGTTGTTTTCTCGCTAGAACTATATTGACTCATAGAATCCTCGCTAGAATGTAAAGCCGCAGCTATACCTATTTTATCATCTTGTTTATTATTGGTCTCTCGATTGTAATTTTGATTTCCAGATTTTTGTGGAGGTGAGGCAACATCGCTTGAATCATTTTTACTATTATTATTTTCAGATTGCTTGAAAAATTCAACATGCAGCAAGGAATTGTGGGGATTGCCACAATTCTTACAACCAGAATGATAATAATTTAAAAAATCGTGCCCTGGTCTTAAGCAATTCTTACAAAGACCAACCCTTTTTATTTCAGTGAATCTTTCGGTAGGCGAAATTCTCAGAAACTTTTCGCACTGAAAAATAGAATGTTTGCCCTTGCATAAATTGCAACATATATCACCTTGTTTTTCTGTACTAGCATAAGATCCTTTTTTGTTATTGAACTTATTATTAATTTTATAATCGGGTGTTTTGTTAGCCGTTTTTTCTGTTGGTTTATTTGTGACCTCAATTTTTTCTAATAACTCGCATCGTTGTAATAAAAATTTATTAAAATCAATTATTGTCGGAAGATCATTGGTTATTTCATATAGTTCCCACTCTCGCCGCGATGCTTTGTCTAATTTTGACGTGAACAAATAAATCAATAATCTGTCCCAATTATCAGTATTTTCACCCAACACTTTCAGTGCTCTCAAATTTTTTGTGATAGTATCAAAGAAGTTTCTCAAACCGGTATGATGCTCCGAATATATCGCTGGATATTCGAACAAAGCACGTACATGATTGTTTATTAGAAGCGCTTTTTGTTCAAATCGATCATGAAGTAAGTCCCAAGCAATTTTGTACCCACATAACAAAATTGCATCCTTAGAATGTACTGGGAATGTTTTTTTTTTAGGAGGAATGTGCCTAGAATGTTCGCCAAAACCATTGCGAATGTCCTGAGAATGTTTTGAGAAAAGATTGTAGAAATACTGTTTGCAATACCCAAGAACTTCCTGGGAAATCCATTA